ATATATATATGTATATGTATGTATATATATATATGTTTTGCAAGTAAACTTAAGATATTAGTAACCAAACCTGGCGTATATATACACACAATATATATAGCACTCTCAAACCTGATGTCTGAAACATGCATACACACGCACCCAAGTATCTATGCCAAATGTCATCAGCACGTACTGCCCCTCCGTATCAGTACATCCCTCTCCTTCGTCTCATACCATATCTCCGTGGTCTTATATCACTCACCTATCCACTGGGTGCAACTACTACAGACACCAGACCAGCCGAGCCCTTCTCGGTACTGCTGTCGCGGGTGGAGACGCTTATGTGGCACGTGATGTGGCACACAGAGGAGTACTGGGAGGCACGCACACACTATGTATTTGCGGCTGCACTCCGGGAAGAAGCAGCACAATTCATGCAGACCTATGGTGTGGCGGATGGGAACTATCTGGCTATACACATGCGGTGTGTTTGTGTCACTCGTCCTGTCATGCGTGCTCAGGTATGCATGGATAATTGGTATAGGTGTTGATGTTGATATCGGTATTGATATTGATATAAAGATATTGTTACAGGTATAGTTTCTGGTATTGATATTGATATTGATATTGTTCATCAGAAGCGTAATTTGCTTTTCCTACTAATCCCTCTACCCCTCTTTGAGCCTACCTCGATAACTGATATAGGTAACTGCAAATACATTTGCTGATGTAACTTGATATTGATATTGACAATTGTTAATTGTTGATTGATGTTTGATATTTGTTAGTTGTTAACTGTCAATTGATAATAAATATATATATATATATATATATATATATATATTATTTGATAGTTGATAATTATCAATTAACAATTAATAATTATCAGTTATCAATTTATAATTATCAATTGTCAATTAACAAGATGTTTGATAATTGTTAGTTGTTAATTGCTAATTGTTAATTATCAATTGTTAATTGTTAATTATTAATTGTTAACTGTTAACTGTTAATTATTATTTGTTAATTATTAATTGTTATTTGATAATTTATACTTGGTATTGTTCATCACACATGAGCCGCAGAGATTTAAGCGAACAATCCATTTCTTCTCCAACAAATACATCTCACCTACTCCTGGGTCTGGGTGCACGCTTCCCCAGAAGTACCGTTATGCACAGTGCTTGTTTATGCCCACACTGCACTAGCCACCGATGGGCCACTTCTCACTCTGCCCATACAACTGCGTCTGTCATACCTGCAGTCGCCGTGACTTTGTCTTTAGCAAACAAGGCAAGATACCTGAGCTGACCGACGTTGCAACGATCATCAAAGGTCTGATGGATCAGCAAGGGGTTACCAAAGTGTTCGTAGCCACGGACGCGCCAGAGAGCGGTGAGTGGCGTGTGTGTGTGTGTGTGTGTGTGTGTGTGTTATGGTGAATCGTGATATGAGATGCTTTTGCTGCGGTATACTGTACCACATCTGTACTCGATTGCTGACATAGGGGAGCTAGGTAGCCATATAGTACTGGGTTTAGGGTTATAGGATTTTTATAGATAGCTCTAACACCTAGCAGCGGGGCTCTATAGTAGTGATACACGCGGTTCTTGGGAAAAGGTGAGCACCATGATTATGTGTCAGATTTTCTCGCAATACCAGGAAGTGGTTGAGTGCCATTCTTCCTGGACCACTCGTTCTCGCTGAATAATGCGGTTCTATTGTTATCGTATGTGTGGGTTATATATATATATATATATATAGGCTGTGAGTGTGCAGCCTTATCTGTGAGACTTTTGGCGCGTAGTTTTAGCAAGGGTTTCCTTCGGAGGAAGAATGACGACTAAAGCGAGGCATTAGTGTCCTTGTATACCATGGACACATACACACTCACTCATGCGAATTTCAGTGTATGGCCCACGCGCTGTAATACAGCAATGAACTAAGACTCGCAACGCTTGTGATGTTTTAAGTCAATCGTCGTAATGTTGGTCAACAAAAGAGACGTGTGTGTATGCTTATGTGTGCGAGTGGTAGGTCCGTGATCATCTGTGTGTTCGGTCGCTCTCTCTGCTGGACTTGGGAAAATCCGAATAAAATAAAACAAACGGCTTCCCTGGGGCTCATTTCCAATCCTCTGAACTACGAACGAAACAGAACTGGAAGAACTTGGTAGACTCCTGAGCACAGAAGTGTTGAACTACAAATACAAGGTGGCCGGGAAGGTGACACCCAAGCAAAGGTATGTATATAACTACGATGTTCTCTGCTTGCGCAGTAGACTTGTAGCTGATGAGTTTCGATTGTTCGCCATTTAGCAACGGTCACCATCGGTTTGTGTATTTAACGGCTCCATTGTCGTCGTTTGTTTCTATCCCCAACAAATAGCACCACCCAACACCTGCGTCTACAACTCGCTACGTTAGTGAATGGCTTACAATGTACAATGTGTAAACCTGCTTCTCATGTACAGTAATTCTACCTACTTCTCACGTACAGTAATTTTACCTACCTCTCACGTACAGTAATTCTGCCTACGTCCACGTACAGTAACTCTACCTACTTCTCAAGTACAGTATTTCTACCTACTCCTCACGTACAGTAATGCTACCTACTTCTTAAGTACAGTAATTCTACCTGCTTCTCACGTACAGTAATTCTACCTACTTCTCACGTACAGTAATTCTACCTACTTCTCACGTACAGTAATTCTACCTACTTCTCAAGTACAGTAATTCTACCTACTTCTCACGTACAGTAATTCTACCTACTTCTCAAGTACAGTATTCCTACCTACTTCTCAAGTGCAGTAATTCTACCTACCTCTCATGTACAGTAATTTTACCTACTTTTCACGTACAGAGAGACGCACCTGGCCGACGGACAGCTGGCTGTCATTGATCAGATCCTGTGCTCCCGCGCCAAGTACTTCAGTGGATCATTCCAGAGCACGTTCTCCAATACAATCTTCGAGGAGCGTACGTTGCTAGGTTACGACTACGATACCACGTACAACTACATTTGCCCTCTGCCGAGTCCAGAAAACCCCGAGAATGGACAGGGCTGCACCAAACCCACCAGATGGCTCTCGCCCTCGCCCGTGTCACATTTTGTCCCAAACTTGGGGAGCAAGACCACCGGTGAGAATGAGCGGGAACATATGAAGGATGAACTGTAGATGAGACTTAATTGTGAGCAACCTCGCAGACGCACTCTGAGAACACTGAACGGGACACTTGACGTGACAAGTGCGGTGTGGGATGTAAATAAAGTCTGAAGTATTAGTGCACGCACAAGCCGCAGGTGAACGTAATATGTGGTCAGAGAATATGCTTCAGGTGAACGTAATATGGGATCAGAGAGTATGCTTCAGGTGAACGTAATATGGGATCAGAGAATATGCTTCAGGTGAACGTAACATGTGATCAGAGAATATGCTTCAGGTGAACGTAACATGTGATCAGAGAATATGCTTCAGGTGAACGTAACATGTGATCAGAGAATATGCTTCGGAGGGAGATTAACATCAGTATGACGCACACTTCTCCTACCCATATTAACTCTCCAAATGGATGTTTTGTTTATTATTGCTTTATTGTACGGGGAGACGTGTGTGTGTGTCATGAACAACCGCTCAGACTGAGTCCACGGCCTATTCTAGCACTAAACATTACAAACAAACAAAATAGTCAGACGTTGACCTGCAGTGACTTCCTATCAGTTGGTTTGTATCCACAGCCGTAAATGATTACTCGACAAACCCTTTCTGGCCGATTCTACCTTTTACTGTTCCCATTGAAGATCTAAATTACTCGCCAGGACTTATCCTTCTACCCGACACTACCTTCTCTTCCCTTTCTGTTTGCCGCCTTTCCTCATCTCATGCGCCGTCTCCAGGTGCCGGAACACCTCATTCCGCGTATCAAACTCGGCGTCGCACACGCTGCACGCATTCACCTCCGCACTAACCTTGGCCTTTGCCTTCGACTTCGTTCCCCTCTCTGTGTTACTACTCTCTGTGGTGCTGCCACAGATGTTCTCAGTCGTCGCTTTGGCGCCCTTGGCGGCCCGCCTGCCCTTTTTCTTTTTTTGAGGTTTCTATATTGTGGTGGTTTGAGTAGTAGAATGGTCAGTTAAACCCTTATTTATTTGTAGTCGAATGCACCTGTCCTGAATATATAGGTTCACCGACTTCGCGGAAGTAGAAAATAGGGCATACGTGGATATGTATAACTAGGGCAAACGTAGATATGTATAACTAGGGCAAACGTAGATGTGTATAAATAGGGCAAACGTAGATATGTTTAACAGGGCAAACGTATATATGTATGAATAGGACAAACGTGGGCAAGTGACGCCCACCAGCACTGTTATGGTGCTCTATGACACACAAACTGGTGCATGTGTTGCATTCTCCTAACACTCTCACAAGATAACATACTTGTGGCGATTACCAGTGCAATGAATATCACACAACGTAGCAATGAATATCAGACAACGTGGCTATAGTGCACCCTTCACGCGTACAACTAACATTGAAGGGACCATACGATTACTACCAGTGCAATGAATATCAGACAACGTGGCTATAGTGCACCCTTCACGCGCACAACTGGGACCATACGATTACTACCAGAGCAATGAATATCAGACAACGTATCAATGCATATCAGACAACGTGGCTATAGTGCACCCTTCACGCGCACAACTGGGACCATACGATTACTACCAGTGCAATGAATATCAGACAACGTATCAATGTATATCAGACAACATAGCTATAGTGCACCCTTCACGCGTACAACTAACATTGAAGGAACCATACGTACAACTAACATTACAGGGACCGTACCTCATCGTCGGATTCGTTGTTCCTGACGTCCAACGCGTCTAGTGCAGCCTGCAGCGCCACATCGTCTACGGTCTCTCCGCCGTGCCTGTTTATGATTAAAGCGTAGAACGGTGAGCCTACAACCATCGGCATGCCGTTGCCCGCACACGTACTGTGAACAGGTCTGTCGAGCAAGTGTGCAGAAGATGCTTCATGTGATGGCGTGCGGCTGTTGAGTGGCCCTGGAACACCCTGCGCAAAACTGAGGAGACGTACGTACTTCGACTAACAATGGGGCAGCTAACAGAGAAACGTACCCCAACGCACACACACCGCAAATCACACACCACACACTACACTCATCACACACACCACACACCACACATCACACATCACACACCACACACCACACACCACACACCACACACCACACACACCACACCACACACCCACACCACACACCACACACCACACACCACACACCACACACCACACACCACACACCACACACATCACACCACCAACACCACACACCACACGCTACACACCACACACCATACACCACACACCACACACTACACACTACACACCACACACTCCACACCACACACTACACACCACACACCACACACCACACACCACACACCACACACCACACACCACACACCACACATCACACACCACATACCACACACCACACACCACACACCACACTCATCACTCACACCACACATCACACACCACACACCACACACCACACACCACACACTACATACCACACACCACACAACGCACACCTCACACGCACACGTGTGGGCTGACGAGCAGCTTTCAAGACACAACAGACAACACATCGGCTTAAGCTGAGGTCGATAGGGTGGGTACTCAGACAAATGCTAGGCTGAAGTCGTACCAGCTATGCACTCTACCACGTGTAAGCCATAGACCTCGATATATAGCGTGAGAGAGACATGTTAATTCGTATCACGTAAGGCACCCCCCCCACACACACGTTTCTAAGAGGCGGTTCTCTCTACCAGCGGTTGGGCTATCTAAGCTCGCCCGCACGCTGTAGGTACACACACCCATCCGGACCCCTGACACGATCAGTATGACACAGACACAACAACAAATAAATGCAACATGTACGCTATCATACTATAGAACAGGCTTATCCAAACCCCACAGAAGCAATAGCCCACCTACACCCACACCCACACCCACACCTGTTGATGTTCTTCTTCTTCTTCTTCTTGCCTTTCGCGGGTGTCGCATAGGCCAGGGCCTTTCCCTCGCACCCACTAGCCTCTTTGTCCGCCAAAGCCCCACCACTTTCTGGCTCGCCTATCCTGTCGTCATCGCTCACGTGGTTGGTATTGAGGTCACTTGGCTGTGTGTTTACATCGCCACACTGTGCTGGTCCGTCGTTAGTCTCATCGGCCAATGGGAGTGTGTGTGCGTCATCCACTATGGGAAAGGGCGATGCCGCACCGGATACACTGCGATAGGAACAAAAACCACGAACGAGACCAACTTAGTTTTTACAACACACAACCAAACCCCCGGATACAGACAGTTGCAGACCTATGCTAGCACGTTGAATGAGACAAGTTGTTTTCTTGAGGCATGAGAATCTTGTGCGAGTTACCCAATGACCTGCACTCGCACTCGTCAAATACAACCCACCAGCGTACACAGCTCAGCACAAAGTCGGCCTGTCGAGAGCTCTCCACACATACACATACAAGGCCAGATGTACCACACATGGGACCACGAATGCACTTACCTGGCAGACCCATTCGCCTCGGTATAAGTATCACTGTCGCTGAGTAGGTCGTCATCCAGTTCCAACTCTTGCCTCAACGCCTCCACCTTGCGCATGTGTTTCTTGGTGGTGTTGTGATGCCTGAGCGCTTTCTTGGTGTTGAATATTTTGACGCAGGCCACACAGGCTAACTCGAACTCGGCGTCGACCAGTCTGTACAACCATGCACGCACATGACAGCTTTAGCTAACATTTTAGAATGCATCGCAGACTATCGTTCTCGTGTATAGGTCTCAAGCTCTGTACCGGTCTGTGACCATGAGCACGCAGGACAGGTTCTTGTAGCTAACATTTTAAAATCCATGTATGTATATATATATATATATATATATATATATATATATATATATATATATATATATAAATATATATATATATATATATATATATATATATATATATATATATATATATATATATATATATATATATATATATATATATATATATATATATATATATATATA